TTGCTCAGTCCCGCGCCGCAGCCGCTGCCACCGCCGCTGTCATCTCCGCCGCCCACCCCCACCGGAGCTGCAGCCGAGCCGGAGCCGAGCCCAGCCGAGCCGAGGCAGCACCACCCACCACCCGAGCGCCAGCAGACGCGCCCCGCCCCAAAGGGCGGGGTCAGAAGAGGCCCCGCCCCGTGGCCCACGGTCAAGGGTGGGGCGCGTGCCACCTACCCAGCCCCGGCCCCGAGCTGTCCTGCAGCAGGAGCCAATCAGTGTGCGGCGAGAGCTCGGCTCTGCGGAACGTGCACTGTACCTCGGAGAGGGCGGGGAGGACAATGAGAGGTACGGCTGGAGGGAGGACAAGGGAGGGTTGGGGGCTCCCTACGAGTCCAGCGGGAGGGGTTAATCTGGGGACTGGATGGAGAGAGAGCGAGCGGGACTGGTTTGGGAGAGGGATGGGGTCCTGGGAACCACTGAGTAGGGGAGTCCTGGGGAAGGAATTGGGATCCAGTTGGGGAAGCCGAACGTGACTGGGTGGAGCAAGGTGGGATTCCGAGGGATGATGGAGGCCGGTCCTGTGGGTGGCGGGACGACGCCCTCAAGTTGCCTCTCCCCAGCTTCTAGGGCTCAGCGCACAGAGTGCGAACTGGGTACTGTGAAATGCTCAGATTTCAGGAAGCGGGAAAAGTAAGTTTCTGAACGTCAACAGCGGATCTGCCTTCCACACTTCCCCCACCCCAGCGTCCATCCCGGGAAGGGCGTGGTTGGCAGTTTCGACAATGTCAAGTCGGGGGCAGGGTGTGTGAGCACTGAGCGCACCTCAGTCCGCGCTACATGCTGCCCCTGTCTGTCACCCCCGCCGCTCCCAGCCCCGCTGCGCTGGGCTCCGAGCAAGCGCTGGAGGGGTGTGATGTATGAATGAGTGCTGGCTGCTGCGGCGGCGGGGCGGTGTGTGCGTGTGCGTGCGTGTGCGTGTGTGTGTGTGTGTGTGTGAAAGCCACTGATTGACCTGGAGAGAAGGAATGGAGATGGAGGCTGCGCAATACAGCCTCTCTGTAAGTCTCACACCACTACACACCAAGGACCCCATTTCACTGATCATGATCCAGGCACAGAGAGGCTCAATGTCTTCCCAGGACTACACAGCTGGCATAGGGTTCCATCTGCCCCATGACCATCACATTCCAGAGCAAAGCTGTGTCGCTATGAACAGGTTCCTCTATTTCTCTGAGCCTCTGGTTCCTCACTGTAAGAGGAAAAGATGCTACTACTTGGCAGGGGAACAAGTGTGGGGCTGGCCAGGAGGCAGGGCCTGAGGGCTGGCTGGAGGCAATGTTACCTACCTGTTGAACTTGGTGATGGTGCTGAGAAAGCTTGCCACTTCTCCCTCCGTGCAGAACCCCCTCCAGCCCTGCGCTGGCTGCAGGATCAAGCCCCAAGTCCCTAGCCTGTGGTTCTGCCCACCTTCCCATTATCGCTCTCTGCAACCCATCACTTTCCTCTTTCCTCACCCAGCTTCTCTCACCTCCATCCTCTCCTTTCTATGGTTACTCCTGCTGTTCCCTTATCTAGGGAGCCCTGTTCCCCTTATCTCCTGAGTTAACCTCTGACTTCCCTGTAGGGCTCAAGGAAAGAACCCTGAGGCCAAAAGCCCCTTGTTCTTTTCATGACTGTATCCTCAGAGCCTGGTGCTTGGTAGGTGTATGGTTAAGTAGTGGCTTCAAATTACGCCAGAGGAGAATGGAGAAGGGATTGTGGCATGGCCATCCCCCCTGAGGGGTGATTTCTGGCTTTCTGTCTCTCTGTCTCTCTCTTTTTGGCGAGCACACGTGCCCTATAGCAAAAACCTCTCCAAAAAAGTAATTGCTAAATGAAAGTATTATCTCTCAAATCAAATGTCACTACCTCTAAGAAGGCTTCCCAAACTGCCCCAATCAGCTTTGGTCTGGGCTCCCTCAAGCTGAAGGTTTTATAACTATGTTTCCATGCCTAGTTCTCCCCGCACTGGGCTGGCAGCATCTCCATGGCAGTGCACCCCCTCCCACCACCCAGCCCTGTTCATACTTGACCTGCCCCTCTATGAGATCTGGGAATTGGGAGATGAATGAATGAGGGTTCTCAGAGAGCAGTTCTGTGGCTGCCCCTGCCCTGAGAGCCTCCTAGTGGGGTCAGATGAGAGAATGTCAGAATGAAAAGGAGCTTTTCATAACAGACCCTCCATGACCCCTGAGGCCCCGGGGGTGGCGTGCTCAGGGTCACCAGGAGGTGACTAGCAAACAGGTCTCAGACGCCCACATCTGCCCTCTGGCCACCCTTCCAGTTCCTTCTGAACTGGGGGAATCCGGCCTTTTGGTGGCCAAGAAGGCCCAGGAAGGATGACAGAGGCCATCATGGAGACTTGTCTGACTGAGGCTTGTCAGGACCATCTCTGAAAACACCACCCTTTTGTTCCTGGTAGCCCCTGCTCCCAAGAACCTTCTACCCTCCTAACACAGACAGTTCCTGACTTATGATGCTCTGGCTTAGGATTCTTCTATTTTACTATGGTTCAAAAGTGATTTGCATTCAGTAGAAACCGTACTTTGACTTTTTTTTTTTTTTTGGAGAGGTTTTTGCTACAGGGTGCGTGCGCTCGTCAGAAAGACAGAGAGAGACAGAAAGACAGAAAATGAGAAATCATCTCCCAGGGAGGATGGCCACATCGCAATCCCTTCTCCAGTCTCCTCTCAGGATCTTGGGCATGCATGCACACGCGCCCAGCGTGAATTTAAGCCACTGGATCCAGGACTTGAACCATGATCGGCTACATGGGAGTCCAGCGACATAGCCATTACACTAACTGCTGGTCTCCCTACTTTGAATTTTTAATTTTGATCTTTCCCT